GGAAGTCCGTGGTCACCATCTGGGCCTGGATCCCGAAGCGCCTGTCGGCAGCGATGGCCACACAATCCTTCCCCTTCATGGCCATGACGGCCCCTCCGTTATAGGACATAATAGACTGGGGCAGACAAAGCGGAGGGGCGTGAACATCCCGAACTCCAGCTCTGAGATTAGCCCCGTGGGGCTGCGAGGAGCCACATTCACCCCCTTGGTCCTCACTGCAGTGCGCTCCCCTTCAAACTGGAGCCGCGTCCTGCAGTCGATCACAAGTCCCTCTCCGCCTCCCAAACCTCCCATGACCCCTTCCCCGTTTCTCAAGCCCTACTCCGTGTCCCTTCTCCTTGCTCCCCAACTCACCATGATTGCAGTGTACTAGGACCTCCAATCGCCACTACTTCAGCAAACCGGCCAGGGCCCTCACAGCGCAACGACTCTCGCTACTTTCTCTCTATTGGCTGAAAGACGACCGTACCGGGATATTTTGGCTTTCTTATTGGCTACGCACCCCGCCAGTCACTAGCACAGGACGTTTGGTTGAGAAGTCAAAACGAAGACAGGGAAAGAGGAAAGTGAAAAGTCACTGTGAGTGCGGAAGAACCTGGCGTCGCTATGCAGGCTGGGATTGCGGCGGACCCAGTCTCAGGACACAGGAGACTAGAGACGAGACCTGCGTACACGTGGGCTGCTGAAAGGCTACGGTGTTGCTTGATCAACGCGCTCTATGGGTCGAGCTTATTACTCATGTTAACTTGTTTCATTTATTATTCCAGAAATTCTCACATCTATTGTGTGTCTGGCACTATGCTAGACTCTGGACATTAACTGGCCTAGAACGGTGCCTGATATTTAGGAGGCTCCCATTAAGTGCATATTTAATAATACAAGGAGGATGGGTAGAAGGAGAGCGTCGCGGGTATTCTGCGGCTGCAGGGATTCATTTGCAAAGGGAAGGTTTGAGGCCGAAGGTTGTTCTGCTTTGGGAGACTTTCAGCAGGTCGACTTCACATACCCCCAAGTCTCAGGTCACCCTAAAAAGGGACGTCCCGAGCTTCCCTTTATCTACTATCCGCAGGAAGCCGGCGCCAATCTCTCCAGAGCCAGTGGAGGAGAGGCGTGCGCGTCCTGCTTCCGTCCCTCCCCGGATCGGGAACCCTTCCTTCTCTTCTCCCCGGGATCCGACTTCTGCTTCATTGCGAGGTTTCTGTTATGGCTCCTGCGCCGTCGCAGGCTCTCTATGATTGACTTGGCTCGCCACGAAAGAAGCGGTTATCATGGTCTCTGTGGCGCAACCGGTTAGCGCGTTCGGCTGTTAACCGAAAGGTTGGTGGTTCAAGCCCACCCAGGGACGCTCCTTTTCCCCCCTCCCCCCTCCCTAAGCATTATCATCCCAACCGCTGGAAAGCCAAATTTGGTGTTGAAATGGCAGACACAACACTTTTTCTATAGCAAATCAGAGGGCCATTGTGATTGAAAATTTGTTCAGTTAATGGGGTAATTTCTCCGGCCATTCCCTCCACCGCCTCCCCAAACTGGGTTGCAGGAAAGGCAGACAGAGGTGTTTGTGCAAAATACGATTCAGGTTGCACTTTTCGTAGGATTAAGAATGAATTTGCAGCGGAGGTTGGACAGTTTTCCATTGTTGGCCTCACCGATGTTACATTCTCGAAATACTATATTTGGAAGGGAAAAAAGCGCGAGAGACAAAGGCAGAGACAAACTGAGGGATGAAGAGAAAGGTGAGAAAGGGAGAACATAGCTGTGATATACCGAGAGACAGAAAGAGGGGGCACAACAGAGGAAAAAGGCAGGGTGAGTGGAAGGAAGACCCGGAGAAAATGGAGAGAAGGAAAAAAGAAGCAGTTAACATGAGAAATATCAGAGACATGAAAGCAACAACAAAACAGGTTTTTTTTTAGGAATACACACACAGAAGTGAGGAGGATGGGGAAATAGAAGCAGAAACTGACAAAGGATATTGTTTGGGGGAGAGGAGTAAAGGACAGGAAGGAGCCTCCCTCTCCACCATTGTCATTTTCAATGTGATTTTTATCCTGGCAGCAGCTCTTAGTATGTGCTGGAAATAATTACCTAGGTTTCCCGGGTTCCTGCTCTCTAGAAACTTCTAGTCTGTGACAGACACAATGACTCTTCTGATGAATAGTTGTCAGGTAGAGGACCATGGGAGATACTATAACTAACAGAATTAAGGGGAAGCATTGGCAACTAACGTTTGCAGGGGCGCATCTGAGGGCGCGGGGTTGGAGCCTCCACTTTTATGACGGAGCTAAGCGAAGGACTCTCTCAAGCAGTTCTCTTCCATATCTGCTCCTCTCAAGATTGGGCTCAAAGGAGGCCTCTTCTGAAAGCCCTCCCCAGTGCTTACTCATCCCTACCCGGCGGGTGGAGGCAAACCGGAGGATACACAGTGCCATCCATGGAAGCTAACAGGACAGGCTGTGTGGACCCTCCAGTTTGCCCCCACCGGCCTGTGAGCACCCCGTGGGGAAAAAGCCCAGCTCATCAGCTTTATGTCCCCTGTGCCTAATGCAGTATTTAACATCGATACATACAGGTGCTGCTTTGTCGGGAAACCTGAGTTTAGATGTGCGAAGGGTTGGGTTGAAAGGTTCTTCTGCTAAACCAAGGATGTGGGGACCTGTCTGTCGCCCAGGACGGAAATGATTAAAATAACGTTTTAGTGGGTAGCGGGTCTTCAGCATGTTCCTTCTGTCTTGCGGTTTGCTTGTGACTGGTGCTTAATAACAGAGGAAAAAGTGACCGGATCTCCAGTGAGCGCGGTGGCCCCAGGTGCAGCACTCCAGGATTAACGGGGCGCAGTGGGGACTCAGAGGGACGTCAGCTCTCTTTCTAGTGGCAGATACCCGCCCCCTCCCTCCCCCCACACACACCCAAGGGTATCCCCTGGATGCCCATATGGATCGTCGGTGGGATGGAGATCTTCGCAAAGTTCCTATAGATTTCTCTTGCCCAGGATCTTCTAGCCTGAAAGGAGGGGCAGAACAGGAGTTCGTGTTGTGCTCCCCTCCCGGTAGGGCGATTGTGGGACAGAGGAAGATGCACGGGTCTTTCCTGGCAGAGTCCAAGATGCAGGCGACTCACCTGCCCTAAGGACAGTGGGCGTGTCCACGCCGAGAGCCCCCCTTCCCGGAGGGGCAGCGATCTCCGGGTCTCCGCGTGTAAAGACAGGGGAGCAGGTGACCGGATCCTCCCCCAGCTCTTCTCCAGCAGGTTCTCAGGCCACCCGCTCTGGGCGGAAATCTCTCTACTCCCTCCTCTTCCTCCCCGCCCCCATTCGGCCGGTATGAGCTGAAGGCTGAAGCTGGGGTCACTTGGCGGCCAGTGTCCGAAGAGCTCCTGGTTGCTGGCCAGAGGGTAAAAGCATGCAGTCTGCCGGCCCCCGCTTCGGGTCAGCCTGGGCTGCAAGTGAGGAGGGAAGGAGGAAGAGGCAGGCACTCTGAAGCTTGCCGAAGATTCGTCTCCTAATTTCCTAACTCGAGCCAGCCGCCGCCAGTGCGCTTCTGGCCAGATGATCGAGCTTTTTGGAGAGACAGACACAGTGACCATCCCCAATAAATCTTGACTAACGAATAAGCGAATCGATCGTCCTAATGAGGCAGGCCCACGGAGGTCGTCAGAACGTAATATTGATTGGCTTCCCAGGCGCCGGCCTCAGCCGCTCATCTGGGCTTGTCCAAGCCTCCCTCTTGGTTCCTCTGCCCGCGGCGGGAGCCGCTGGGAACAGGACCGACTGCCTTGAGTCGGGCTCCTCCCGCCGTTTCCGCGAGGGAGGCGCACCAACCACGCAGAACGCGGAGCGCTAATCGGCACCGGGGCGAAAAATGCGGGAAATCACCGCGAGGCAGGGAAAAAAGCGCGGGCCCACTTTCCAGCCCCCGTGCCTGGTTTTCTAGTTTATTCGGGCCTCTCGCATTCTGCCGGGTTATTGTGTTCTGGGCCTGGGGCCTGAGTCCCTGTCTTCAGCTTGTCTCCAGGCCCAGGTTGCGTTCCATTTTTCTCCACGCCGGGGGCGCCAGCCTCCACCATAGCGACTGAGACCCCACCACAAGACCTCCGCCCCACCGCCTCTAACTCTGTCCTCCGCTGTTTGCTACACCAAGGCGCCCGGCTGGGTCCCGGGGTGCTGCATTTTTGAGCCGGTGATACCGCCGCCGAGCAGGGTGGGGAGGACACGCTCTCGCTTACAAATGCAGTTATTAATTTTAAGGGAGTGTCACTTAGAGTGAATGAAAATAACTCGGACGCGTGGCCGAGGCGTCGCGTCTCCCACTGGAGCCTAAAGCCCTTTGGCTGAGGCCGAAGCTGGAGGACTGCAGTCCTCATTTCACCCTTTTCTAGGCGCCCCAGCTAGGGGCAAGTGATCGCAGGGTCAGGGGGTGGGGGGGCGCACACGTATTTTCATGGGGGGGGGGAGGTGAGTTGCGGAGGGTAACAGAGAAGAGGATTCACCCTCCAGAGGCAGGCGCTGTTTGGAAAGGGTGAGGTTGTGTACTAGTTTGGGGAGGGGCACAGTACCCGGTGGGGGGGCAGCCGCGTTAGCCTCTCCCCCTCCTCTGTCCCTCTCGGCAAACACCCTGAAGGAATGAGGTCACGTGGGTGAATAGTGGGCGGGGCCTACTCTAGTCTGGAGGAAAAAAGCCATTTTG